GAAGTGCTTCTCCAGAGGGACCTACAGCCATTTATTTACTGGGTGATCATAAAACGGCAAGGGGAATACCCAGATGTTTTGAGGATTATTAGAAAGAGGATCTGAGTTGACACTGATACTGGGACACAAGGCATCATTACGGCTCTCCTGTTAGTGTGGATACTTATGGGGGCCGAGTATGTCCTGGATATGAGATTCTGGGTTTGTAGTTTCTTTCTTTTAGTACTTTAAAAATATTACTTATAGCCATCTTGTTCCCAGTGTTGCTGAGAAGTCTGATGTCATCTGATTCTTGTTCCTTTGTAGGTGACCTGCTCTTTCTCTCTAGTAGCCTGGTATCTTAAAATCTACTTTAATGTATCTAGGTATGAATTTTTCCTAACCCCCCCCCCCTTTTGGAACTCTATAAGCCTTTTTCATATAAAGGTTTTCATTTTTCTTTAATTATAAAAATTTAAACTTTGTTATTTTTTCAAATATTTCCTTATCTCCATTTTTAATATTTTACCCCCATTTGAGAATCTTATTATTGAGATGTTGTCATTTCTACTTCTATCTTCCATATCTCTGAAATTTAAAAATTTTGTTTTTATATTTTTATTTTTTCTTTTTGCCCTTCTGAGAGAGTTCCTCATTTTGAACTTCCAACTCATTCATTTATTCTTCAATTGCAACTGTCCTACTAATTATCTCATCAAATGTGTTTTTTTGTATTTAAATTCTTATATTTTCCAGGTCTAGTGTTTCCATTTGGTTCTTTTTCTAATACATTCTTATTCTTTTCCAGATGTTTAATGTGAGCACCGACAACTAATATCTTCCCATACCTCTTTAAGCGTGGAGATTATGTGTATCTTCTTGGTCTGTCTATTCTCATGCTTCTGCTTCAGAGGCTATATGTTATCTTCTCTATTGGCTTTCTTTTGAGGAAGTTGTACTAGTGAGTCTACTTATCTTGGACTATGATTTCATGTTTTCCAAGGGCCATTAGCTGCTTTATCTGACAGTGTAGACTATAAAAGGGCCTTTACCTGTGTCAGTCAAAGTGAGTTTAGGAAACAGGTCAGGGATAAATTTCAAGGTAGAGATCCCCAGGAGCCACAATAACTACTATTGTTCATTACCATTTTTTGACCCTCCAGCAGCTAACTCTTCTAGTGAGGATTTCACTGATAAACTCTTGGAGTGAAGCAGCAATGGGAGAAAGCAGTTTCCCTAAATTTTGATGTGCCAGTCCTGGAGGTCTGGAGGGGTAAGAATAGGAAGATGGTACCTGGAAGGAGCTGATTAGTGCTACCTTTTTCAGAAACTTTTCTCAGTGGGCTTTTCCCAGATACTTCCAAAATTGTTGGTCTGGATTGAAGAGATTTGTTTCTGGTTAAACATCGTCTCAAGGCAATATAGGTCAAGGCAGGGTGTTGGAAGATTCAAGAGTAAAATTCAAAAAGCTTTTCTCTCAACTATCCTCACTTTTCACTCCAGGCTTCAGCCACCTACCTTCCCCATACACTTCCATTCAAGATAGCCTCAGTCTCCTAGTTCTGGCCTGGAATCCATGTTTACCTCTCCCTTCTATAGTTTTCTGGAGTTGCTTTGGAGGAGGGAGCAAGTGCTCTATTATAGTTGACCATTATTGGCAAAACGAAAGCCCCCCCCCACACGCATATGTGTGCATACTTTTAAAATGATCTCATTTTGAAACAAAGAGTGGGCTTTTTAAGTGGGCCCTTTATAAGTGAGTGGATATATTTGTTTATATTGGTATTAACAGAGAGAAAAATGTGAAAGGATATACAAAACTTTAAATTTTGATTATTTTAGGAGAAAATTGGGGAGAAATTGCCACATTTTTCTGTGTACTACTTTATGTTGGGAAACAGCTCATATAAATTCATGGCTTGAAATGAAATTACAACAAACTATATTGTAAAAGTACCATGGACCAGGAGATGGCAGCATGGTAACATATTTGGTCTCAGTTTCTTTACTGTCCTTCCTACACATAAGTGCGGGTCACAGTGACCTGCTGTTTCTACATTTCTTGGATTTAACTGCCATAAAATGATATTAACAGATTGCACAATCCTATCTTTGTGTTATTTGGTTGGCTGCTTGCTTAAAATATCATTCGATGATTTTAATCTGTGTGAGTGAGGCTCTCTGATGTTCCTCCACGAGTTGTTACTGTTTTGCTTGGTTGCCATTAATACATCTTTCTGGGTTGTAACCAATACCCTCTTGATTTAAAAGACAAAAACAAAAACAAAAACTCTCTTAGATTCTTTAATATACCATTAATTGGAGAAGTTCTGGAATTTTTTTCTAAGGCAGATTGAAAAACAAGTTTCTGACCACTTCAGTCTCACCCAGGGGTCTCTGGCAGGCCTGCTATAGCTCATAGACAGTCCCCTCTCCACTAGTGGATCAGTGCCACCACAGGAAGGAGAACCTAAAAACAATTGTGCTATGCCTGGCCAGTCATGTTTTCCAAAGCATCTACTACTTTCAAGGGTAGTTTTCAAATACACTTTTACCTCTTTATGTGGTCTTGGGGGTGGGGACTTGGTTTTATATGAAATTATAGATTCAATGTCTATAATATGAGATTATAGATATCTAACACATAAGGGTTCAAGAAATGACTGGTAGAAGAATGAATAAGTGTTTTTATAAGTGATTGCATAGAACACTCTAGGTCAATGATGTCCAATAAATTTTCTGTGATGATGGAAATGTTCTAAATCTGTGTGGCCGAAATGGTAGTCACTAGTTACCACTGGCTAAGCATTGGTGCATGCAGCTATTTTGTGCTTGAAATGTGATTAGTATGACTGAAGAAATGAATTGCTACTTTATTCAACTTTAATTAATTTAAATTAAGTTTAAATTAATTAAACTTTAATTAATTTAATTCATCTGACTAGTGGCTACCTAATTGGACAGTTCAGGGTTTAGTACTCAATAATGTTACACAATTTTCTGTTCTATGCAATTTTCAGTGAATATATTTATTTCATACATATGTATATGAATTATTTGCCTGTAGCAGCTCAGCCTTCAAACAGCCTTCTTCTTCCAGCTTTCTCCAATCAGGTTCTATTTCCAAATGATATTAATTTGTCTAGGATTGTAATAGATATAAATGTGGTCATAAGAGATTGCCTTTTAATATTTCAATGCACCAGCATTATAAAAAGGAAGAGAAGAAAAATATTTCCAAACTCATGCAAGAAAATTGTAAGTGCATGATTTTTAACAATGACTTTTTTCTTCCTACTTTTGGCCTCATTGTATTGGTTCTCTGATGGGAGTGATTTTACCACCCAGGGGGCATTTAGCAATGTCTGAAGTCATTTTGGCTTGTTATAACCTAGTGGGGGGATGACAGGCTTCTTGTTTGTAGAGGCAAGAAATGTTGCTAAATATTCTACAATGCACAGGACAGTCTCTCTCTCTCCCCCAAGGAAGAATTATTTGTGACAAAACAGCAATAGCACCAAGGTTGAGAAAACCTGCATTATATGGTTGCTTCAAAGAGAATGAGTTTATTACCAATATATTTTAATGTATACAATATAATGTGATGTGGTGGAAGAGAACCTCTTACCTGATATAAAACCCAAAAGAAAATCTTAGCAGAGCAGTTATCTCACTAACTAAATTAATTGTAAACTGGGGGGAGGATACAAATAAAGATGCACAGAACAAGTTTGAGGTTTCTTGAATACTAGTTTATAGTCATGTACAGTACTACGAAATATGCAATTAAATACATACAAAAATGACCTTTCATCAAAATAATTAAACCATTCCAAAGGTACTCTCATGATTATTTTGACTATTTTCTATAAATACTATTGTGCAAAAAATGTATGCCATTTTCCGACAGTAAGTTTAAATATTACACAATAAGGTCTTTACTGAAATCTTGTATTAAATTGTTTATGAATGTCTAGTTTTATATTGGCTTTTTGGGTAAGTTGTTTATGAATATCTAATTTATATTGACTTCCCATTCTGCAGGTCCCTTAATTGTTCTGAAGTTGATCGAAAATAAAACTGTTTAAAAAATAAAATGCATTGAGATAACAAAACAGAAGTGAAAAGTAAATTTATACCAGGATTGGGACTTCTCCCATTTTTAGAGATGGAGCTGAAAGTAGCTCCTTCTCATTGAGTTCTTGTTTCTTTTCATTTCAATTTAATGAAAAGGTCAAGAAACTTTGCCTTTAATTTCTGAGTACAAATTTACATAGCTTAGAGCAGAATCCTGTGCTAGGCAATATTTCCAGTTCTCCTGATGTCTGATCCAAGGATTTATTCATTACTTCAAAATAAATATCAGAATAATTATTTAAAGAGATTAAAATCTGCACCACTAGGTGTAAATTGAAATGTCAACTTTTTTCAAGTTTAAAGAAGTTCAGTGCACATCTGAGGGCAAAGAGGAATGGACTCACAATAGTACCATTTCTTAAGTCCTGGGTTTGTGTCTAGTGCCCCCTCCCTCATTTGTGTTAGCATTGACCCATACTAATTCTCTTGACCTTCTAGTACAGTGGACCTACAGATTCTTAATGAGGATTATTTGATGGGGAGAGAAAAACTGTGGCACCATCAGGGAAGGGAGACATTCTCTGTCAGGAAAAAAATAGAGAATGCTTAACCTGTTGGTACTCATTGATTAAATGGCTAGATTGCTCTTAAAATGAATAGTCTGTAGTGGGGACAGAAAGATGAGCAAGGAAGTAATCAGAGACACATAGCAGCAACGGCAGATCTTTGTGGAGCTGACATTATCTTTTATGCTCATGGTCAGCAAAACACTTCAGACGATGTGAATAGGAAGCCTGCCTTCCTCATGTTTAAGGGGGAGTCATCAAATCACATTTGTTTGCATCTTGAACTCAAAAAACATACACATGGCAACATACATTAAACACAGTTTGCCAGAGACCACACCTGATAGTCATAGTTTGGATATAGAGGTGGTTGTTGCATTAGATGTTAGTTTTAGATTTAATCCAGTCCCGATAATAAGTCACTTTGGTATAAAGTCCAGGTTTGTTTTCTTTTCCACAGCCTATTCCCCAGCTTACTATTCCAATAAGATACCAGATATTTCTACCACGTGAAATAACCAGAGGTCCTCCAGAATCACCCTGGAGAAGAAGAAAAAAAATATGGTCAATGTGATGAATAAAGGGGTGTCAGAAATGAGACCTAATCAGTATCTGAATGTCTAATAAATTAATACTTTGAATTGAAATACACAAAGCTAATACTATTTTATTTACCTTTAGTATTAATACAATAGTGATCTTATTACTTACTTTCTGTTAATGGCTTCAGCTGGAGGGTAGTGTGAAGAAAGCTAAGGTTTCAGTTTTACCGTTGTAAAATTTTTAGTTTTGCTCTGTCTAAACAGGGACCACAAACTGAACCTAAGTCCAGGTGGCCAATTCTTACATAAATGATGACCTCAAGACTAGGCTAAAATGTCACCTCCTCCATGAAGTCTCCCCCAACTCGTTTAGCTAGAAACACTCTCTTGCTTTGAATTTGAATCTCATCTTGTTCCACTTACAGTGATTGATAGGAAGGCATTATGGACGTTGTATCAATAGGTTGCAGCGATAGGCTTGAGAGGAGGAAAATAAAGCAAAGGGCACTCCAAGCAAATGTGCACTATTTATTACTGAAAGACATTTGTTCCCAAACTAAGGTGGAATACCTAGCCCTAATGAACTGCTTTAAAGTATGTGAATCATGAGGACTTCCCTGTTATCATTCAAAAAAAAAAAAAAAAAATCCCGTGGAGTAATGGAGGGGTTTTGTTTGTTTGGTTTTTTTGTTGTTGTTGTTTTTAAGAGAAATGATCCTGTTTGAAGAGGCATGGTGTTCTAGAGCTTTGTGCCTTTAGCTCCCTTCCCTTCCATTTTCTTCCCATAATTCTTAGTCGTCTCCAGTGTTGGGTGGACACAGCATGAAAACCCTGGTCTACCAAACGCAGTTCTTCTCAACTCCTTTCCCTTAGGCCACATGCTAATTTTGGTCCTCAGTATTTTACTAGGCTAGTGGTGGGAGTATGAACCAATGGAAAGAGAGCATCTGCTTCTGTACAGATTTATTTATGTTTTTCCTCTAAGTCATGGGATCCAGTTGTACCTTGGACCACCCTGGTTGTTTCTTCTTCTCCTCAGAAAGTAAAGTGAGTGAGAGGAGATCTTGTATTCCAGAATATGTAGCCAAATGTAAATCTTATATTAATTTTTGTTACTTGTATGCTGTATTATTTAATTGCAAATTCATTGTGATTTTTTTTTAAAAATTGCTTCCTTTAGTAACTGCTGATGTACCTGGCAGTTCACAAAAAATTTGAATGAATAAGTGAATGAATGCGTATTACCATTACATGACAGACACCCATGGCAGATCAGTAGTGGTACCTTTGCATATAAGAAAAGCACACATATATGTCAAATTCTTAAAGCCATTCCTAATTCTTCAAAGAATTGTTACATTGCTGAACCCAGTTTCAAATGCTACAGGTAAAATATTTATTGTTTTAGTTATTTATTTTTAGTTCTTTAAATAGCCAGACTTTAGAACTGGTATACTTCTTAAATACTTAATGTTTAAAACTAAGAGAAAATGGTATTAATTTAGTTTCTGCATATAATTTGTAAGATAACACTTTAATATGAATATTAGAAAAAGTAGAAAAATATCTACTTTTTTTTGTTTTGTTTTGCCTCTAAATATTGTAATTCTATCCTAATGTAAGCTGTTTAAAGTCAAAGTTTTAGGCTACTGGAGCTACTGAGAGCATGGAGCAGGAGCTGGCAGAAGCCACAGCTGTGACCTTCAGATGGAGTTGCTTGGAGGTGGCAGGAGAGGAGAGGGCCTTGGTGGCCCCCAGGACAGCAAGACCACTAATAGGGTTCCCGTGGGCCCACGCAGGAGAGAGGAGCCAGAACAGCTGAAAAAGTGGAGCCATTCTGTGAGTCCTGTGGTGCAGGGCCCATCCCATGGGAAGTGTTTGGAGCACGGGTGGTGGGGAAGATGGGCCCACCAGGAGACACTGGGACACAGCAAGGACAGCTGATCTGCACCCCAATCAGCACAGGACCACTTGGAGGAGACTGGTTGGGAAAGCAGGATTGCATGGGGTGCAGTTTGATGAAAAAACTCAGGCCTAGATCAGAGTTTCTACGCAACCCAGATCCACTGGAGAACTGCAAGTACTTATAAGGTCAACCATTAAACCCTGAGCTGCACAAAAAGCCTTCCCTATGGAAACAGCAGCAAAGCAGCAATTTAGTTCAACCACACAGCTCAAGTACTGGTTCCCACAGGAAATTTCCCCATTTTAGAAGTAAGCAAAGGATGAAAAATTAGTTCCAGCCCAGGCACACCACCAGTGCCTTGGGGCCCACCTGGGGGCCCAGGGTATGGAGCCAGGGACCAGAACCCCCCCACAACCAAGCACACCACCAGCGCCAAGGAGCATGCCAAAAACACCACCTCCATGTGGGTGGCCCATCACAGGCACCACAGTAACCATGGCTGCCACGAAAGTGGCTAGACATCACGACCACCACACAGATGGTCCACCAGCCACTGGAGTGCATTGACATAAGGAGAGTCACCAGCAGAGACCAAAGAAAAGAAAAGGACGTTTCTCTCCACAAAGCTCATTCCAGAGTGACAGAAGAAGCTGCTGCTCTATGATAATAGTGGAGGAACTGAACACACCTCTCAGCATTGGACAGATCATCTAGGCAACAGATCAACAGAGTGACCATTAGTCTTTCAGAGGGTGAGAAAAAAATCTAGGGTTATCAGTGGTGGGAGAGGGGAGGGAGAGGGAGATAGGGAGAGATTGGACAAGGGGCATAAAGAATAAGTACAATTTGTAACAATATTCATACTAGTAATATTGATTTGATCCACATACATCAACACTGAATCCCCAAAATATGTATAATCAATTACGATTCAATAAAAAAAAGTCAAAGTTTTAGGCACCAGTGGGCAATGCTTTATTGGCCATGAGACAGCAGCTGATCCTGTCTCACAGTGTCCTGCAAGTAGTAGGGATTAGACACCTAAACGTTGGTTATGACTGTAGCTTGAAGCAATGATTGTATGGCTTCCTGGCCTGGTTTTTAGTATCAATCAGAGTCCTAATTTGCAGCTGGTGACCATTTTTTATAGGGTATGAAATGAGGAGCATGTCTTATGGTTTTTCCACTCCCTCTTTTTACATTCTTCATGGAGTCATGTGAAGTGACATTGGTCTGTGGTCAGTAAGACCATCCCTACTTAACAAAGTCATTTTTATGGATTTAAGTCTATTCTTACCTCACAGGCATCTAGTTTTCCTGTCAAGAATCCAGCACATATCATTCCTGTTGATACAGCACCACCATATACATTAACTTCATTGCATATATCATTACTTATGGTCTTTACTTCAACTTGTCGCAGAGTATTGGGAAGGGGACCTAAAGAAGAAAAAAATAAATAGATGAAGGATTTCTGTGTGGTTTCTGTGATAGTTAATTGTTGCATCTTTCAAAGGATGAATGAGTGATAAAACTTAAGTCTTGAAGTTGTAGGATTCTGGCACATTTACTCCAACTATCTTATTTAATCCTTGCAACAACCACCAAGATATATATGAATATTTTCTTTTTTAGTCGAGGAAACTGAAGCTTATCTGATTGGGCATTTTTCATAATCACACAGCTAAATGGGGGATAATGTTAGTTGTAATCCAAAGGTATTTCTCACCACCTGGGAGCATCTGTGACAGCCTACCCTACCTTGCCTGGAAATCAGCCTCATCACTTTACAAAGGACACAGCTATTTTGAAAAATGGGAATCCTTTAGGAAAAGCAGTAGAGAATAAGGCCATACTACCAGGAAGTAACTTAATACTGATGAAATCCTACTGCTTCATAAGAAAGACCATATTTGCTTTGATCATAGCTTAACTGACTATTCAAAACAAATACTGGGGTAAGTAATAAATACCAAGGTAAGAAATAGATCATGTTCTGTTACTTAATCACACATTTATTGGTTCAATATTATATGAAAAATATTATTTAGTTGCATGTAGTATTGTTTTAGCCATTACGTTCTCCTTAATCCCTGACAACAGCTTCCATTTTAAAGATTGCATTAATCCTTTATATAAAGATGGATGCTCTATTTATAACAGCTTCAAAGGCAATTGAGAGGATGACAGAGAGCAGTGTTATTGATTTGAGCAATGATTCAAGGTAATTCTGTCCTTAAGGGTCCTGGTCTTGGAGGTAGCAGATGAGAGTTTGAACACTATTTGCACAACTTATGATTATGTGACCTTGGGGAGGTTACTAAGCAACATTTTACTCACCTGTGAAAAGGAGAAAATGATGCCTATCTCAAATGTTTATTGTGAGAGTTAAAAATAATAAATATAATCAGCCATGATAGTAACTCACCCTATATTCAGTTCTCAATAAATGGAGCTATTGGAGTGAACTGTAGAGATTAGGGTTATACATTTAAAATTCTCGTTGTCTTAAACCCGAACTTCAATGTTAATGATAGATGGTGAGAAAGAGCTTTTGTAAGAGGAGACCTAGGTTTCTAAGTATTTTGTCATATTGTAAAGAATTTTAATTCTGTTTTTAAAGTTGTAAATTCACTCATTTAAAATTGACCATCTTGCTGAAAAACTAAGTCCAACTTCTCTATAGTCATTAAAGATTATCTAGAGTCTAGTCAATCTTTTCACTGCAGTCGTCATCTATAAGCATGGAAGGGTTGTTGTATGATCAGTTCCTATTTTCTCCACCTCTGATACTGCTTGAAATGCTTCCAGTGAGAAAATCTGTTCACCAACTGCTCTTTATACACAATGATAAACTATTTATTTGTGTAAGTGCCTCAGCAATATTCAATACTATCTATTTTGCTGTCTACAATGGCATTTAAATTTTTTAGGTATTCCCAGGCTTTAATCAACTGTATTCCAACTACTTATAATCTCTGTGTGACAATATTTATTTTAGCTTATTGGTCTAGTTTTAACTGGTCTATGCTTAGTTTTAAATTTTAAATGCTTATAATTCTTTAATATCAACTTAAAGAAAATCAATTCAAGTGCTTAACAATACAACAAGCTATTTTATAGTATCAACTATTTAAGGAAGAAAGTGTCCAGAGAATACAAAGTTTCTGTTTTGCAAGTGGTCTGGCAAAAAGATTTCTAATTAGATATGATTGAATACATCTTGGGAGGTAGGAGAAGACAACCTGAGTAGTCCGTGTTTCCATTTCAAAATGCAGAAAAAAATCCACAACCAAATATTTATTAATTAACCTTAGTCTGATGACTTACAAATTCATAACATTATTTCTAAAAACAATTCAACTTGTTAGAGTAGATAGCTCATCGCACAATAATCTGCACACTAATGGGCTTTGAATGATTCATGATGAAGTCCCAAATCATTCCCAAACTACTGCCCCAGGAGGAGGAGGTGTTTAGTTTACTTAGGTTCTACAGTAAATATAATGTTACTATTGAAGTGGTAGATGCTTTTCTTTCCTACTCTTATTTCCTTTATATTTAAGGATTCAAATCCCTTTCATACTCATCACTATTTCATATAGAACAATGCAGATTCCCCAAACATGAGGAAAATAACTTGCAGGTTATAATGATTGTGTTATACACCTGGACTCAATGTCAGAATTTTGGAGTGCATATTTTTAGAGAAGGGAGGCAGCCTTCTCTAAAAATCAACTGATAGACTCAATGGATAAAAGCTATACTTTGAGAGAATACATAAATAAAACAATGACTTCATAATAAGACCCTGGAACTAGAATCACAAATTTAAGGGCAGATTAAGCCATATATAAAAATTCAGCCAAGAGACATAGAAAATGGAGATCATCTGAGAACTTAAAGGCCTATGGTTTGCAGTTTATCATTGTTATTAAGTGTAGTAAAATGCCATAATTTCAATTTATAAAGTCTTAGGCTTAAGAACAACTCCATAGATATGTGGATCAGAGGGATCCTAATTAATATTTAGCTCCAAGTTAAGAACAACCATTCAGATTGCTTTCATAAGGCTATTTTTGTTTAGTTACATGACACATTACAGATAACCATTGCTAGTGCTTGAAAATCATATACTTTATGAATTATGCAGTCATAGCAAAATCTCTGCATATGAAAGATACCAACTGAAAGAAAAAATGATGGGAAGAAACATGCTTTAATAATTTTGAAAAGAAAGTTCTCACCAATTTCCAAAGTCCATAAAAGAAACAATAAAGAGACACAGAAACTGGAGATCATATCATAACTTAAAGGCCTACGGTTTGCAGTTTATCATTGTTATTAAGTGTAGTAAAATGCCATAATTTCAACTTACAGTCTCAGGCTAAGAACGGCTCCATAAATACTTGTAGTAGTAACAGTAATAGCCCAATTTTTGTGTATTCGCCATTATCTATTTTTTTGTTTGTTTGTATGTTCCATATTTGTTATGGGATATCTTAATTTCATCTCATATAGTTTGATTTTGTATTTCATTTTATCTTTTCATTCAAATGGAAGATAGGTTTGTACTTTTTGCTTTATTGTTTTTACTGACATACTCACCATTTGCTTTTAATGCTCCCCATCCAGTGACGAACACATTACTGCCAGGCAAGACTTCGAAAGTAGCGTCCGGGAGACAGACTCTGTGCACGTCATGGGAAAATGCGATGGGGGTGGAGAGCTTCACCACGGCAATGTCATCCTCGTGCTTATGGGCAGCATAGTTTTCATGAACAATAATTGACTGCACCTTTGTCCTCATCAGTGGAGGGCTTAGGGTTGTTCCAAAACTAGCCATCCATAGTTTGGGGTTTTTGTAACTGATCACAGATTAAAAGGAGTACAGTTGGTTCATTTCTGATCTAAAGTTGCCCAGAACTCTGGATGGGCATGAGACAAAGTGTGTGAGAAGGGCAAATTTCAAGTTGATTGGTACCTTCCCACCTTCTTATTTGAGACTACTCCCCTAGTACAGTTTTTCTTTCATCTAGCTGATAAATCCCTCATTCCAAGGCAGCTTAAATTGCTCTCCTTGAGAGGATTTATTTTTTAAAGAAAACAATATATTGTTGCCGTTTTTCATTATAAAAGTAACACAGATGAATTGAAGAAAATATAAATAAATAAAAATTAGAACTATGTACCCACACAGACACACATATACACTCATATTCATGCACAGTTATATAAATGTATGTTTAGCTATGAAGGACTAAAAATTGGAGCCACATTTTATATTTCATGTGAGATTTTCTCATGCTTTACTTTTACTTGGCATTTTATCCAGAATATTTTCCCATTTTATATGAATCACTGGGGTTACTGTATCTCTCTGTTATTTCCAGTGTCCCACATGTTGTCTTCAAAAAGCATACAAAGAATAAGAACACAGAACCAAAGATATTCATGTAGAATAGCCAGATATAGTTGTAGGTTGGAATATTATTAACAGAGTTTTTAAAAAAATCTACAAAGTATCTCAAGAAAACTGGCAAATGTGTTTAGTTTTTTGACAGTGTTGGCTTGTTCCTAGTTAACATCGAGATTGCTGGAGAGTATTTTTTCAGTTGGAGATGAAGATACTCTCTTTGATTTTTTTCTACTGTTCTTCAGTAATTGTCACTTCCTCCTAAAACTGCTGGATGATCATAAGTACCACTGGGAGGCCTAAGATGCTTATGAAGGAAATGTAAAAGAGAAAAGAGTTACAGGGTGTGAAGGTAAGAAAAAGAGGAGAAGGTGGTGGTCCTATGATTACAGACCGAGGACTTACGTGTCAAAACAGTGAGCAGCAGTCAGCAGCCACTCATGACTGATCAAAGATGCTCCACAGAAGTGGATGCCGTCCACTTGCAGGCTGGCTTGCCAGGGCCAGTCACCACTTTTTGCAATTTGACCATCAGCAATTCTTTCCATGGATGGGGATTCCTTCCCTAAACCACAACCTGTCAGAAGGGAATAAGATGACAATTTCCAGAGAGTTATAAATGTGTGTAGGTATGTTTGGCACATAGTTAAGCATGGAAACACTTATAGGCTTGACTTGACTTAAAAAAATGATTGAACTTAGCATTACATGGAATACTGTATTGATTCTTCACCTTAATAAAATGTGATTATTCACATTTTAGCTGATAACATTAAAAAAATATTTATCACCCTCCCTGGTGTATTTGTTTTTTTGTTTGTTTGTTTTGTTTTTTTTTCTTGACCGGTAAGGGGATTGCAACCCTCAGCATGGTGTTGTCTGCACCACGCTCAGCCAGAGAGTGCACCGGCCATCCCTATATAGGACCCGAACCCATGGCCGTGGCGCTACGAGCACCACACTCTCTGGAGTGAGCCACAGGGCTGGACCCTCCGTGGTGTATTTGAAGCAATTTCATTTTGAAGTTTGGTTTTTCATATTTTTCTGGGTCATGTTCTTATATGTAGCAGTTTACCCCAGTGACATTGACATTTTTGAGTGCTAAACGTACACTACGAGATTACTTCAAAAAGTTTGTGGAAAAATAGAATTAAAAGATAATATAAATCATTCCATGAGTTTTTGAAAACTCTTGTATTTACTGAAGAAAAATATCTTTGTACTCTTTAAAAATACTTGTCTAATATTACAACCATTACACTACTATACCATGAATATCAAAGTTTCCATAATAAAGTTAAAGGGTGTCATTTAACTCTAAGCAAAATTTTCTACATTAACAAAGAGAGACAAATAAACATAATAAAATAAAAGGAAATTATTAAAGAAATTATCAGTGAAGCTTTCTTTGAAGAAGAACAAGTATTTGCATGGAGTCCATATAGACATTCCCAATACGACTAGTAAATTTTTCCCTTGAGGAGAATAAAATCACATATCCATTTAGAGATATTATATGCTTTTGGGAGACAGTAAGCATGGGAATAATGGCAAAAGGTGTTTTGAGTTTTATTCTTTGAGTTATAAATATCTCAGTAATGATCTTCTTGAACTTACAGCTGTTCAGAATGTGCTCTGCTTGTGCTGCATTTATATCTGGGGGAAAAAAAAAACACCCAAGATGATTGTTCAGCAATGGCTATTATAATTTAAAATGCTATGCCTACATGACATGAATTTTTCTGGATGAGAGAAACTGCATTAGTCAGAAAATTTTTAATTTAAAGATAATAGAATAATATCCTGCAAAAGGGAGAGGCCTAGATGGAAATTAAACTCTTCTAGCTACATGGGGACTCTAGGAAAATGGTTCATGATTATAAAATCACTGGATTAGAGAAGGATATTTTTTGTCACAAAGGAGGACTGTGTCTAGGTAATTTATGCCATACCAGTTTATTGAAATGCAAGTTAAAATAGAGGAGGTCTAGGGCCACTTTTACATGTGCACTACTGTATGTCTGGAGACTGTCATTTGCACACTGGTGTTTATGTAAAGGCATTCAAAGCATCTTAGAAGCCTGGCATCTATGTTTGGTCCATGGATGCTCTCTGTGGAATCAAAATCCACCAATGTACTTAACAAATCCTTGAACTGCATTACCCTATTAGTCTTTTTTTTTTTTTCATAAAGCAAAATAGAGAAAAGCATGAACAGTGACTGTCTCCCCAAATTATTTGAATTATCCCTTATGCCAGCTAGTATAATGAGCAACCCAGATCCACATTTTCTCAAGTTAAAACTGGTGTGGAGTTTTGGTAAACCTGAGAATTAATGAATCTTTAGTTTAGGTCAAACTCTAAAGAGGAACATTGAGTTCATCTGCAGGGAACTATGTTTAGGGAGTTTACTAGAGTAAATCTCTTAGAACTAGGTTTTACCAGTAATAACACAACCCTCTAATGGCCTCCCTGGCCTGTAGAATAAACCTAAACTTCCTATCAGGACCTGCATGAAATGGCCCCTAATTATGTCTTTGATGTCATTTGAACTGCTCTTGCTCTTAGTTAGCCATTATTCAATGACCACCTTGGTTTTCTGTTTACTTGACTGTGCCAAAGTGTTCCTGCCTGCAATCTATGTCCTAGCAGCCCCCTTTGCCAGGAATGATTTTCCCTTGGCCTTTTTATATTTGGTTTCCCGTTGTCATATGTATCTCAGTTTAAAAACCCTCTCCTCAGAGAGGCCTTCCTTGACGACCAAGTCTAAAGTAGCCTCCTACTCTCTGTTCTCTGTGTGGAGTTTCACATCATTTGATATTACTTTGTTTACTTACTTACTCATCGGGTCATTATCTTTCTTACCAATTAGAATATTAATTCTATGAGAACAGAGACTTTCCTGGGAGAAATAAGGTCTCAATAAACACTTGCTGAGTGAATAAATGAATAGGAATAACAACAAATAATTTGCTAAGTCTAGTGTACCAGGTATTGTGATAAATGCTTATTTGCTTATTGTATCTTTACAATGATATTATGAAGCAAGTCTATGAAGGACATGATTTAGTAGTTTCTTCAAAAAGCTTGTCCTGCAACCATTTTATTGCAAGGCCAATTATAGTTTAGCACCACCCTCTATATGTCATGGATCAGTGAGAGAAGGGTGGAGTTATGGTTAGTTCCCAGCTAATTTTATCTAGACTCATCTCTATGTATGCAAAAACTATTGATCAACTTCTATGATGACGTTATACCTCACGTGTGAATATTATGCATTAGATGTGTTTCTCCTGCAGGATAAAAGAGGTTGAATAGCTCCGGTTCTAGAATAAAATTGTGTAGATTCACTTTCCCCTGCTCTTCTCCCATAAATACAACTATAGACTCTGAAAATTATTCATCAGGTATCAATAAAAGAACTCAGAAAGCAGGAAGAATGAAAATGGAATGGCTAGAGACCACAGAATTTGAGAAAGGACAAGTGGTGATTTTCCTGGGTTTTCTTTTTATCCCACATATATCCTGGACTGGGGACCAGAAAGGCCTGCAATCTGTAGCCATCAACAAGCGTAGACAAAAGAATTCCAAGAAAAGTCTGTTCTTCCTATCCAAAATACTGGAAAAGAGAAAAACAACAGAGACCTAGTGGGAAGCCCAAACTCCCTGCTTCACAGCCCAGGCCGGGTAGTCCATTCTGCCAGCAGGAAAGACAGCAGCAAGCCCTTGGCCATTCCAATCTCCACTTCACAGCCAGGGCACTAGCTGGCAGATAAATACATTCACAGGGACAGTATTAGCAGAGACCTGCCTATACCCAGTGGCACAAGGAGATCAGGCCCAGTGCACCCCTCCACAGAGGGTGGCCCATTGATATAAGGCATCCTAGAGAAGCACGCTCTACTCCCACGGATGGCACCAGCAGCAGGAATTAAGAGGAAGCTCCAGCAGACCAGAACAGCATTACAAGATTCTGAAAACTAAATTGTCATCGAAACAACAAAATAGTTGAGAATATACACTCCAAACCTAAGCAGGTGGACTACCTACTAAAATAGAAGAATTAAATAGGACATTAAACAGGATAAATAGACTCCTAACATAATGACTAAAGTGTTCAGAATACAAACAAAGATCACCAAACCCAAAATCAGGAAAACTACAACCTGAGTGAGAAAAACAATTAGCCAATGCCAATTCTGAGATGAATAAGATGCTGGAAGTATCTGATGAAGATTTTAAAGAGCTGCTGTAAAAATAATTTATAAATCAAATATAAATTTTCCTGAAACATTCTTTTATATGACTCCCATTTGCAACAACATGGATGAACCTGGAGAAACTTAGGTTGAGTAAAATAAGCAGATCACAGTGGGATAAACACTGCATGTGCTCACTCATATGTGAGAGCTAAGAGAGAAAGGAAGGAAGGAAGGAAAGACCACAGTAGTGCCATGGTCTAACAGAGGGAGGGAACATTCCTGGGGCTACAAAGTGGAGTTGGGGGGCGGCGGGGGGAAGTGGGGAGATAATTGGCTGGCAACAGTGGGTGCAAGGGTAATTTTTGGTAATGGGTATGCCCCCAGTGTGAATCTGGCCCTCACATCATGGGCAGGAGGGGTGAAAATTAGCTTTGCATCTCATGAATATTCTTAATGAAAAATAAATAAATAAATAATAAATTTTCGGGGCCGGCCCGGTGGCGCACTGGATAAGTGCACCGCTTGGGAAGCGCGGCGGCACTCCCGCCCGAGGGTTCGATCCCACATGCAGACCAGTTCCGGCTCACTGGCTGAGCGAGGCGCGGGAGCAACGCCGAGGGTTGCGATCCCGTTGCTGGTCCCCGGTCCGGTACGGGGGCAACACTGAGGGTTGCAATCCGTTGCTGGACACGGAAAAAGACAAAAAGACAAAAATAAATAAATAAATAAAATAATAAATTTTCTTGATACAAATGAAAAAATAGAAAAATCTCAGCAAAAAATGAAAGTTATAAAAGAGAACCAAATGGAAACTTATAGGCTTGAAGAATAAAATAACCAAAATAATAAAAAATTTAAAAAGCCAGCTTGCTGGATGGTGCCAATAGGGGAGCGGAATCAGTGAATTTGAAGAGAAGTTGATAGAATTTACTCAGTCTGGAGAACAGAGCAAAAGTGGAATAAAAACAAATGAACAAAGCCTCTGGGATTTCTGGGATAATAAAAGATCTAGCATTTGTATCATCACTTTTCCAGAATGAGAGATAAAAGAGTGTGAGACTAAAAAAGTATTTTTTAAAAAGTGGTTGAAAATTCCCCAACCTAGACAAAATACAGAGACCATAGATTCAAGAAGATGAGCAAACCCCAAATAGGATAAGCTCAAAGAAACTCACAACAAGACCCATCATATTTAAATTACTAAAAACTAAAGACAAAAAAAAGGTCCTTAAAAGCAGACAGAGAAAAACGGTACATTATCTATAAAGGAACAGCAATTCAAATTAACACTGGTTTTCTCACCTGAAATCATAGAGGCTAAAAGAAAGTGGCATAGCATTTTTCAAGGTCTGAAAGAAAAGAACTATTGACTCTGAATCCTATATCCAGTGAAACTATTAATGAGGAATGAAGAGGACTTAAGTATATTCTCAAATGAAAAGAAACTAAAATAATTTCTTTCTAACATACCTACTCTTAAATAATGGCTGAAGGAAGCTCTCCAAACAAAAAGCAAATGATAATGGAAGAAGGCTAGAACCTTCAGAAAGGAGAGAAAGACAAAATTGGTTAAAAAAAAAAAAAGGAAGGAAGAGTAAAAAAGAAAGAAGGAAAGAATCATGATAATATACTTTAAAAAGATAAAAAAAAAAAAAAAAAAAAAAAACCAAATGGGGCTATTAGGGGGGGGAAGGGG